TTCGCTGGCTAAATGCAAACTGTGAGTTGTGTTTAGTTATACACGCCCCTCTCAGCTGCCGCCCTCTCAGCTGTTGCGCTGCTGCGACAGCGATTGCTGTTGCTTGCGTGACTTTCTTGGGCGCCCACTAATACATAAGTTGGTACAGTGAAAGCTTTACTAACATACAGCTCGCCTAGCTGGTCAGTTTCGTGGACCTTGCTTTTTAGAACAAAGTTCTCGCTTTATCTGTCTATTTTTGTACAAAAGTTATTTTTAAAGCAATAAATTGCATAAAATATTGTGTAAATAAATAAAATATAACAAATAATAAATATATTTGAACAAATGTGTATTTATCTGTTATTCTAAATACATATATTTTGAGTCACTGTCGAACAAACTGTTGCTGCAGCTGTACGCTCAAGCGAGCTTTTACTGTACGTGTACATATATACATATATCTGAGTGTAAATGCGCAACGTTTTCTTATCGCGCGTTTTGCTTTACGTCGACCGGCCTATCAGTTTTCCATGCGTGTGTGTGAGTGTGTGTTTTTGTGTTTGTATTGATTGCATTTGCACAAGAAGTGGGTTATGGCAAACTGAGCAACAAAAACAACAAACAACAAGACAAAACAACAAAAACTTAACGAAGAAAATCAATCAGCAAAGTGGCTCAGCCAGCACGCAGCGCATGTAATTAACACGCAACCAACTGTTGCTACTGTTGCCTGTTGCCTGTTCGTCTTCGTCTTCGCCTTCTTCTTCTTCTTCGTGTTAACTGTTACACACAGCTGATGATTGTGTGTCGTGTCATGTTTGTTGTTTTTATTTATCAATGCAAGCGACACAATTACGCTTTAATTGAGTGCGTACGAGCAGCAACAGTTTATAAACAAACATGTTGCAGTGTGAATATTCAAGAAAATAAGAAGAAGAACAAACTCTCGCTCTGCCTGTCTGCACTCTATGTGCGTCTATGCGGCATTTATTTATCGATCGATGCCGTTGCCGATGGCGGTGATGTAATTTGCATAAGCAACAACAACAACAACAACGACAGCTCAGCTCGGGCAGCAACCACAGCATCTCAGCATCTCAGCATCTGAGCAGCTGGCTACCAGCATGTACATACATAATTTTTGGAGCGGTTTCAGGTTTTGATGCCCACCATTGCGTAGGCAGCGCAAGCGCAGTCAATTTTTGTTGTCAAATACCCTAACCGGCTGTTAAATAGGTCCTAACAACTATGAAATGCCGTTTGTTGGATTGACTAAGCTTCAAAAAGTCGACTAACAAAACCCAAAAGATACCTTTCTTATATTGATAAGTTTATACTTCGGTTAATACTAAAAAGAGCACTCAGCACGGTGATAAATCTTGATAACTATAACCTAGTCGGGGCTGTCGATGACGATGACCTCAGCAGAGTTATCGATTACGAAACCTTATAATCGAAACCTTGTTGAATGTTTAATCGAAAGTCAGAGCTTTCTAGGAGATTCCCCACAGTGAAACGTTGCTCAATCAAAATCTGAAAGATTCCTAGCACAAAACATTTTGAATATTTGGATGAGAAGTACAGATTAGTATTGCGACAAGAATGTACTCAGATAAGGCACATAAAGATTAAGCGTGGTATTAAGAATCTTTCCTTCTTTCTACGGTGAACCCCAAAATAAAAGACTTGCCCTCTTATCAGCAGAAAATGTTAATTAATAATAAACCCAGTTGGGGAACTGCCTGGAACAAAAGGCCACATTTGAACGTACTTAAAAGGTTTTTACGCGACCTTCTCAAAGCTATATTTTATTATGCTCGAGAACTCATTAATATCAACCTTATCGCTAGCTAAATACGCTTTTCATTTAGTTATGCTGTAAAAATCGGCATAAAGGGAATAATAACTTTGAGCAAATTTATATATAGATATATTGTCTTGTGACCAATATCTTTATAGAGTATTTGTGTTATTTCGCGTACTTGCCAATCTCTTTAAAATGTGGTCTTAGTCTGTTTCGCCGGCTAAAGCGAGCAAACAAATAATAAACAGTCAATTGCCTTAAATGCCGCCACAAGCCCCGCCCACGGGCGCTTGGCGTACAAAATATAAAATTATAGCAAGTGCCGATTGATGAGTTAGTCGATACGATTTGCTAATTCTGCTGCGATTTGAGTCAGCAGCAGCTGTGAAATCCAAGTCTCTTCAGACGTCAGCGCCTCCTGCTCCCGCGTCACCCATCCGTCGGCCGAACCGACACAACCGGCGAGACGAGTGTGTCATGCGGCTGGCCTGGCCTGGCTAAAAAGCCGAGAGAGTCGGACGACGACGTCGTCGTCGTCATTTGCTGCTTTTAGACAATGCTACAAGTTCCTACACCTACGACCTAGAATGTGCCGAATATGTCAACAGGTATATAGCCAGCCAGTATATGTATGTACATATATAAATTGTTATATAAACGTAGACGTCGCTCGCTACTATGCCTATATATATATATATATATATATATATATATATATATTTGTTTATCTGAATATAAGCAGCAATATGTATTTTATAGCAATTGAGAAATTCACTTTGGCGCTTTCCACACATTGCAGCAAATTTTTAGTTTGTTGTGACATTTTATATTAAATGCAGGCGTGGCACATGACGACCTTGACAAAAAAAAAAAAAAACAAAGTATATGCAAATTAAATAAATATACAAAAAAAAAATCATAAATAAAATTCAGTTTTTGTCAAGCTAGTTGTTTTTAACCCTTGTTGAGCACGAGTCGCTTCGAACCCGTGCCCTTTTGTTTGCCAGCTCTGCACCAGTCCTCTGCACCCCGCACCATGCCCTAAAGTGGGCGCAGGGTGCCGAAACTCATGGTGTTGAATTCAAGTTTGAGGCCATCTCTTTTATGCTCAATCACAACATGCGCAGTGCGTCGTTTGCTGCTTGAAATAGGCCAAGTTTGCCAACCCGGGCAAGTTGGTTCCATGGTGTAATGGTTAGCACTCTGGACTCTGAATCCAGCGATCCGAGTTCAAATCTCGGTGGAACCTGGCTTGTAAATCTTTTTTTTTGTTTAAGTCTTTTTCAAACAATTTTTGATTTTAAGGGTTAATATTAAGGTTTTGATTCATTACGAATTGTGACGCATTATTATTATTATTTTATAATCTCGTGAAATGCATTGCGCGTCAAAATGTGCAACAATTGTTTATTAATGATTCAGTGTTTGCTCTGGCGATAAGCATAATAAATATTGCAAGGCAGACTATGAAAATCCGTAAGGAATTTATATGGAATTGAACATAAAAAAGATATATAAATAATTCAGATACAAGGCGGTGCGAAGTTATTCACAATAAGAATAGTTCCTGACTGTGACTGACGAAATGTCCTTTAAGTAGCGCAAAAGTATGCAATACTAAATTTCAACTTTCACGTATTATAGAAACGAATCTTAAGAATTTGCTGACCGACAAGATTAGAAGTTGTAGTTAATATTCCTAATAGCCAAATGGGAGAAAGAAATGGGATTAAAACAAAAATTCATTTTTGATTAAAATTGCAGAGATATGCATAATTTAATATGCAATTAACAATGTTTAAAGGGAAGGTTTTTGTGTTAGGTCACGTTAACTATAATTGAATTACGTTACATTAATAATTTGCTTAATTATATAATTTAATTTTACAAAATACACAGAGATAAATAGACTCTGTCAATGTGTGTGTGTGCAATGTGTATTTAGTTAGGCAACGGGTTGTCGTAAATGCGTGGAATTTATTAAATTTAATAAATTTTATAGCCACGCACACGCGGCTAATACACAGCCATAAATTAGAACAGAAAATTGAGCAAAAATAAATGCCAACTAAATTATTTAGTAGCAAATTAAACACGCACAATCACACACACACACACTTGTTCAACTTGTGCTTGAACAAACGCCCATAAGAACGCCGCAAAGCAACCCACACAAGCGAGCAACAACAACAACAACAAAAAGCTGCCAAAGCTAGGCCCAGTTCAGTCCGCAACAACAACAACAACAACAACTCACTCAAGTGTCGGTCAGTCACATAATGTTTGTCATTTAGCTTGGGGGGGCCAATTTGTAGCGCACTTTCGTTGGCAACATGTGGCAACATCGGCCGACAACAACAATTGACACAGATAAGCGCAGCAAAAACAACAAAGCTAAGTGCATTGGCGTTGTAATTTTATTAGATAAAAAAAAAGAGAGATAAAAATTGTGTCAAGGGGCTGCGCCTGACAACCAACAGCAGCAGCAGCAACAACAACAATACAAATTATATTAAATTAGCGACTATTTTGCACGAAAATGTGTGTGAAAACAATGGGGCGAAGATGGGCGCCAAAAGCCAAATGCGAGTAGCGCAAAGCCAAAGCACACAACACAACAACAACAACAACGAAAACGACAACAAGCAAAAAGTTTTAACACGCGTGTAGCGACCGCGACGATGGCAGCGCAGTCGCTGCGCCGCACACTGTCATTGCCGGCTGGGCTGAACGCCCTACACATGCGCGCTGCCGCCGCGCTCAGTCTCCGTTGCCTTTGGCGCTCTCCCGCTTGCGAGCTTCGCGTGTCTGTGTGTGTGGGCGCATAATGAGAATGAGGTTTTCGTACGACATTGAACTCGAAATGTGGGGCTGAAGAATAGCGAGAAAAAATATGGAAACAAGAAAACGAAATTAAAGCAAATATCGTGCTGCTGGCTTTGCTTTACCACTATGTACGTGTTATTGTTTTCTTGTTTTCTTGCTTTTTTTTCTGGAATTTTGTTTTTGCTGGGTGGCTGCCCTAAAGCCAGTAGGCATTGCCTTGCTTTTCAACTACAAGAACATAAGCAGTAAAAAAAAACCTAAAAAGTAATAAATAAATTTTATTTTTTTGCCAAATGCTGCCTGTTTAACGGTATTTTGAGTTCCTTTCTATTTATTTTTGTTTGAACACACTTTACTAATTTCCCATTATGTTGATTGTTTTTTGCAGTTGCGCTTGAGAAGTTAGTGGAACGAGAAGCGATTGTATTGCAATTGAAATAAGCAACAACAGCAAGTTAATAATTGTTTATAAACAAAGAAACGCGTTCACCTACACACACGCACACACACACACACACACACACACACACATACAGCAACAAAATGGTGGACTATTACAAAGTATTGGATGTGGCACGCACTGCCACCGACGGTGAAGTGAAAAAAGCGTAAGTATTGGAAGTAGCTGCAAAAGATGGCGCTCTCTTAATTGCTGCATTCAGTGTAAAACGAATGCACAATGGAATGCAACCTGGAATGCTGTTAAACCGAACGCAAAAAGCTCGAGCTTACGCGCAATTAAGAGAGCGCAAAAACGCCATGCTTCGACTCTTTTTGTTTTTCATATTTGTTTGCGCTCTAATAAATCTCTTTCGATCGCAGCTATCGAAAATTGGCGCTCAAATGGCATCCAGACAAGAATCCGGACAATTTGGAAGAGGCAAACAAACGTTTCCGCGAGCTTTCCGAGGCCTACGAAGTCTTGTCTGATGGTAAGCGCTAAATTTATACAGGGCCCATAAGTTTGTGTACTGTTTTTTTTTTGGAAGTGTAATAGCTGTGGGGCACATTTGAATCTATCCGTTATTGTTGTTGTTGTTGTATTTAGCCCGTAAGCGACGTATCTATGATGCTCGGGCCACGCTGCACAAAACGTCAGCGAGCAGCAGCAGCAGCACAAACGGTTACTATTCTCGATACCGCAGCGGCAGCGGCAACGGTGCATCATCGACGAGTCGTGACTACGACTATGATTATTATCCCAGCTATAGCAGCAGTGCGGCTGGGCGGCGTGGCAATCGCTATCAGGCGTTTACCTTCCGCAACTTGTTCGAGGGCACGCCGTTTCACAAACTGTTTGGTAAAAAGAGTCTCGAGACGCATATATTTTGTTTTTGTTTTTTTGAGGTTATGCCATTGTTATCGTTACGAGTTATCGTTTTGTTTTTTTTTTTTCTTTGGTTGTGCGCTTTTTGAATACCCTGTACCAATTGAATATGGTTTGGTTTTTGTGCAAATGACGACGAGCTAACTCGATCTGGGCCATATCCTTGCTTGTTTTTCAAAACTAAACCAAGACTATAAAATATTTTCGATAACGCTCTATTTTCTGGTAATCGATAAATATTAATTTTGTGCCTCGAGTTATCGTTAGCGTATGTCGGAGCTTATAATAGGTAGGAACTTAACAATTGGTGTGTAGACCTGGACTATTTCACATATGTCAATATCCAAAGCTTTAAAAAAGTATACAAGCACTCTTATATAAAATCTTAATGTGCTGAAATTTTCGAATCTATCGGATAATTAATAAGCAAGTTATAGAGGAACACATTTTTATTAGTATGCAATGTATATGCATAGCTTTTTTTATAGAATTGTTGTTTTTATAAAGCAGCATTGCGATCAGAACAATTTAGAGCTGTGTACAGGGTATTTGCTAGTCGGGCACACTCGACTAGAGCACTCCTGTTTTTTGCTAAACTGACAACAACCTTGACGCGCACGATGTTACTTTTTTGATTTTTTGCATAAGCAACGCGCAACTAAAAAAAACATCATCAATAAGATCAATTGTCATTATCATCGTCAGAATCTTGGTCATTATCATCGTCAGCAGCAGCTTGTTCATCATGTGCAATGTCTAGGCCTTGTCTAATGCCCAGTCAGCCAGCTAGTTAATTGTTTGGACTAACAAAAAGCCAACATGGAATTTAACACATGAAACAATATTTTTAATATGATTTCTCGAATGCTTGCAGAAAAGAAACGCCGCATTTACGATGAGTACGGCAAGGATGGGCTAGGGGATCGGGCCCAGAGCCGCTCGCATGCCCGTCATCATTACACGCACGACTTTGATGACTTTGACATTATGGGCGGCTTTCCGTTTGTGTTCCGACCGCCCGAGGAGGTCTTCCGCGAGTTCTTTGGCGTCAATTCGCCCTTCGCCGACTTCTTTAGAGGTGCGTAGCTTGCATAATCTACACATACATATCATTATATCATCCTATCTTTGACCTGTTGCAGATGCCAATGGCTACTCACAGTCAAATGGCGCCACTAGCAGCAGTCGACGTCATGGCGGACACACTGGCCACAATAGCGTCAACGGCGGCGGCGCTGCTCGCCATCATCATCATCACCATCAGCACAAATTGGCGAGCCCGTTTGGTGCGCCCATGCTCAACTATTCAATGATGGACTTTTTCATGCCCACCAGCGGTTTCACCTCCTTCTCCGCCAGCAACAGTGTCGCCGGCGGCGGCCACCACAGCAACGGAGCCGTTAAGCGCACATCCACCTCAACGGTATTTGTCAACGGCAAAAAACTGATGACCAAACGGTAGGTTAAAGCCATTTCGATTGCTCGCAAATGAAGTTTAACCCGCCTCCTAACTTGCATAGCTACATAAGAATTTGAATTTTCTTACGATCATAACTCGCTTAAAACTCAGCCAATTTATATTTGATAATCCTTTTATTGTTTCCTTAAGTATCTTGCATATAAATTAAGACTGTTTTCCTTCAAGTTCTATTCAATTAATTTTAAATATCATTCTGTTCACATTGTCTCATGATATTTCTATATTTTTCTATATTGCAGCGTCGTCGAAAATGGCAAGGAAACTGTCTTTTCGTATGAAAATGATGTCCTTAAATCAAAGACTGTAAACGGAGTATCCCAAAAGCTCTCTTCAATAGCGAATTAAATAAATGGGAAACAACACAAGTGGATAACAAGTTATTTATCAAAAACAAAACAAAAAAAAAGTAAAAGCTGGAAAAAAATAATTCAATACGAACGCGCGGACATAACAATAACAAAGAAAAAGTCATAAATTTAAACAAAAAAAAAACCAAGAACGAGAAGAAGATAAACGCAAGATGAACGCTTTCTTAATGCTTCGTTGATAAATATGTTTAATGAAATTGTTCTACATTAGAATTTAGTTATGTTTTAATGAAACCGTTTATTTGGAAGGGAGCAGCAAAGGCGGGCGACGGCAACAGCAGCAGCAGCAACAGCAGCAACAACAACAACAACACCATCAGCAGCAGAAACGACAGCAACAACAACAAAATGGCAGTTAATTAAATTACTTGTAGGGCTTATGGTTATTTGAGTGCAAATTTGATTCGAAATTCTGAACATGCAGGCAAAACAAATTTGTTGTCAAAAGTTTCGAACAAAAAGCCTGAAATACATTTAAATATTAAAGCCGAGGTAGCAAGAGCAAAGCAAGCAAAATAAAACAAACACAACTGAAATGCTGAAAACTCTTAAGCGATTTAGTTGATAGGTTTTTAATTTGGGCGGGTTCAGTCTTATGCTGTTTATTGTATGTGTTAACTCTTTTTTATAGTTATTTCAACCGTTAGTCAATTAAGTTGCCACAATACTTACTACAAAAGCCAACAAAAATCAGCAACAGCAGCGGCAGCGGCAGCGGCTACGCACAAAATGACCAAGAAAATGCGTTTGCTTTGCTATTTTGTACATTATAAACAATGCAGAGAATAAATCTATACAATTATATATACACACATACACATAGTTATAATATTAAATTAATGCAAAAAACATACATTTCTGACATTGAATGTTTATATTTAATAATTTAAACTTTTCTTTCATAGTCTGTAGTCGTTTTTTAAATGCTTAAGCTTAAGATTTTTCTCACATAACCTAAAATGAGAGCAAAACAAATTATACATATATAAACAACGTATTGAACAGAATGAGACACAAATCAACTAATCATAATCGCACACAACTTAATACTGTGTTTTTAGTAGATCATTCTCAGCTAAAACAAAAATATATTGAAAAAAAGTAAAGAAAACAAACAACAAAAAAAAACACTAAATATAAAAACATGCGATGTGAATGTAAATGTAAAAGTTGTTTTAATAAAGACGGTTTAAATTGAAAAGTGAATTGCGCGCGCGTTGTGCAATTGCCAGCGTTGCCACCTATTGATGCCGCCGATTAATAGTGCTCGCCCGATAGGTGCCAGCTGACGATCCCGATAACTTTTTGTCTGCCGATTGCTTTCTAGTGTGCAACACTGCGTTTTTGCAGAATTGCTGATAATTATTTTTATCAATAAGTGTATATATTTTTATATTTTAAACTGTATTAAAAAAGATTGCATGGACTTTAAATGGCAGCATATCCACGTGATGATCAAATGAAATGGTACCACGGCCGCTTGACACGCGAGGCCGCCGACGATTTGCTTAAACAGGGTGCGTACAAGAGAGACTTACAAGAATCGCCCAAACAGTAAGAAAATTCAATTAATAATTTGTTTATTGTGCTAATTGTCGCAGGTTACCAGGATGGCACATTTCTGGTGCGTGAGAGCAGCACGGCAGCTGGCGATTTTGTATTGAGTCTGTTCTATCAGGTAAATGACGCACAAGTGCTCCAGTTCAGATTGCACGGCCTGTAGATACCCTGTAACTGCTGCGCTTATGACCGATCGGCTTAAATTTTAAAGTGGCCCAATAGCTAGGGTATAAATTGATATTTTTCGATTTCGAAAAAACGAAAGGTTGATATATAAGCGAAAATTTGATTAGTGTATAGTGTACACTGCCACTGCCTGTGGCATACATTAGCACTGAACCAATATACCCATTTTCAATGGCTACAGGGCATAACAACAGGTTGTCTCTATGCATATATGTGTGTGTGTGTGTAACCAATTGCATTTCTGCAGGGCGAGGTCTGTCACTATCAGATCAGACGTCACGGCGAGGATGCGTTCTTCTCCATTGATGACAAGGGCCAAACGAAAATATTGCACGGCCTGGAAACGCTGGTGAAGTACTATCAGCAGGAGCCAAATGGCTTGGTTACCAAGCTATCGTCGCCACTTCCAGGCGATCCGCCGCCGCACAATACACGCAGCCAGGGCGTGACCAATCTGCTGCATCGTGCCACCAGCAAGAATGAGAGCAAAGTGGTCTTCGAGCTGCTCAAGTGTGGCAATCGGAATTTCGATGCCAAGAACAAGGATGGCCAGACGGCGCTGCATCTGGCCGCACTCAATTGCAATGAGGATATACTCAAGCTGCTGCTGAATGCGCGCGTCCAAGTGAACAGTTCGGACTCCTTTGGCTACCAGCCTTTGCATGTGAGTAGAGTCGCGCTCCTTACACAGCTCTCTAAACCTTTTGCTTTCTGGTTTTTTTAGTACGCCTGTCGCCAGAAGCCCGCCAGTTTTATACGCACGCTGATTGCCGCCCAGGCGAACGTGCAGGGCCGCAACATTGAAAACGGCCATGTGCCGCTGCACGAGGCGGCCAAGCATGGCAATCTGGAGGCAGTGCAAGAACTGCTGGCGGCACAGGCACCGCTGCTGCCACGCACCAGCTCCGGCGAGTTTCCCTTTGATCTGGCCAAGGAGGCTGGTCAGACGGCTGTCGAGCAGTTTCTGCTCGACTACAAGCTGCCACCGGCCAGCACAAGCCGCGAGCACTGGTACCATGGCACACTGAAACGGGACGAGGCGGTTGCCATACTCCAACAGTTTGCTCACCAGCTGCAGCGCAAGCAGCAGGCTACGGGTCAGCCGGTGGACACGTCGGGCTGCTTTCTGGTGCGCTACTCGGAATCGCCCGCGGCGGCGGGCTATGTGCTGACGCTGCTCAGTGGTCAGGTGGCCAAAAACTTTCTCATCTCACAAGCGGATCTCTATCAGAACGGCAACAAGCTGACCTCCAGCGGGGTATGTAGACAGAATCTGGTAGATAATTTGAATTCAATAAGATTTTATATTTATTTAAGTCGAAATTTCTGTACATCGACGATGGTCCTTATTGGCCCAGCTTGGAGCACTTGGTGGCGCATTTTATGCGCTTCTCCTACGGCCTGCCGGTAAGCCTAAAGTATCCCGTGCCACCGCTGCCTAAACCGGAGCTGCCCTCCTTTGCCACCATACCGCGTGCCACGCATAAGCAACGCGACAATCATAGTGCGCCCGGCACACCGCTCAGTCCGCATCCGAGCGGATCCATGCATCAGGCGCACGTGCCCGCTCTGACCATAACCAAGAAGAAACAGAAGGAGAACAGCAGCTCCATGTTCAATACGCTGCGCATAGTCAGTCCAAAGAAGAGTCTCTTCGATATGAACAGCCTGCGCAAGTCCAAATCGAAGAGCAAACGCAGCGATTCCGAGAGCAGCGTCAGCATTATGGCAGCAGCCAGAGCCAATGAGGAGCTGCAGGCGGCGGCACCCATCATGAAAAATCTCTCCTTCTCCACGGATTTCAGCAATTTCAATGTGGACGCCGGTGAAGTGTATAATGTGCCACGTAACAATACGCCCATTGAAATGCCGCCTATTGCCAATAAGACTGAGGACGAAGTAGAGTATTTTACCAAGAGCGATGTGGCCATTGAGCGGGAACGTGCCGCTGCACTCACAGCCAATGGCTATTTGCCCACAATGGATGTGCACATGCTGCTGGATCAGCCGCTCCAGCAGTTGGATGGCAGCGGCAAGCAGATGTCGCGCCTGGACTCCATAATATCCACTGGCTCCGCGGAGAGCGAAATGGCGGGCTATTTGCAACGCAAGTGTAGCGGCGGCGTCAGCGGCGGCGGTGCCAATGAACTAAACAGCACCGAGCTAGAGGCGGCCAAGCAGCGTTTCTTAATACATCACGAACAGCTGGAACTGGATAGCGAGATTGGGGCTGGCGAGTTTGGTTCCGTCTACAGGGGATGGCTGCGGCTGCCGGGCGTGCAACCAGTGCAACGTTTGGAGGTGGCCATCAAGACGCTGCGCGATGAGAAGCAGCAGACCCTCAACAAGCAGGAATTTCTGCGCGAAGCATCCGTCATGATGCGTCTGGAGCACAAGTGCATAGTGCGACTAATTGGCATCTCCAAGGGGGATATGCTTATGATGGTGCAGGAGCTGGCGCCTCTGGGCTCGATGCTACAGTACATACTCGATCACAGCGACGAGATGAAGGTCAACTACGAGCTGAAGCTTTGGGCATCACAAATAGCCTGCGGTAAGCCAGTATTATAAATGATGCACTTGCTCCTTCTGCCTAAACGAGTTTATTTCCTTGACAGGCATGCATTATCTGGAGACGCAGCATTTTGTGCATCGCGATTTGGCCGCACGCAACATACTGCTGACCTCCCGGCAGCAGGCCAAGATCAGTGACTTTGGCATGTCGCGTTCGCTGAGCGCCGGCAGCGATGAGTACCATTTCACCCAAGGTGGTCGCTGGCCGATACGCTGGTATGCGCCGGAGAGCTTTAACAATGGCATCTTCTCGCATGCCAGCGACGTTTGGTCCTTTGGCGTCACATTGTGGGAGATGTTTGCGCTGGGCGCACCGCCATATGGGGATATTAGCAATGTGGACGCCATCAAGCTGGTGGACAGTGGACAGCGTCTGCCGCAGCCAAACATGTGTCCAGCATACATCTATGCGGTGATGCAGAGCTGCTGGAACTATCACCCGAGGGAGCGGCCCACCTTTGCCTATCTTATGGAGTTCTTCAGTCGCGATCCCGAGTATCAGAATCTACCGGAGCTTGTGCAATCGGTGCATATCTAGAGCAACTACTCATCCCCCTCCCACAAACGTGCAATTTCTTTTACACATACTCCATGTATTCATTGTTGGCTTGGTTGACTCCAGATATCTAACGTATTATTGTTTTTGTGGCTCACATCTTTGCCAGCATATCCAAGCTGGTATCCTGTGAGTCTCCTCTATATATCTGTATATCTACTTGTACCATACATATACATATGTATTTTATATCTATGTGAAAAATTTGTGTCAAATAGCGAACAAGTGCCTTACATTATATTATAACAATTACCCGTTATGCAATATAATTTTGTATGCATATCTTTTTAAGGCGTCGCTTTCGGCAAGGACATTTTATTGGAGACTTGAAAATGATTTTCCTTTCCTATAAGTATAACCTATAATTGCAAATCATTGAAGCTGGTCCTTCTGGACAGCCTTAACGCACAATGTCCTTTAGAGAGCTGTTTTTTTTTTCTAAATAAGGATGCTTCATTATATTTATCACAAAAGTGACCATATCTTGGCTATTTCCAGGACAATCTGCATGTCCTTTGGCCAACAGAAAGCCCATGTCCTGCCAATTTGGACTGTGCAATAATAGGAACGAAAATCCTTCAGGGAGCCACGGCAACAGGACATTTTTGAAAAAACAAAATTGCTTATAACTCGGTAGTGTCCTTGCGGATCCTGACGAGTCATGTGTCAAAAAAATGGTATGAACCAGGACAATCAACTAGCCAAAGGACATCGAAGTCGTCCTTGTAGCTTTCGATATGGCTATTTTTCTATAAAGGACATTCTATTTTTAGCCATATCTCGGTCATATCCTTAAGGATATCGAAAGGATATACCTTGTTGGGCTTTTGGGAAGCAGTACTATCGATTGGCATTTAAGGATTTACAGGATTCCACCAAAAATTGCACCCAAATTTTTCCTAGGGGGTTTAGTCGCAAAATTGGCCAAAATACAAAAAATCCGGGCTAACTTGGCCATTTAAAGGTCTATCCGGATGTCCTTTGGTCAGTAGATAGTCCTTGTCCTCCAGATTAAGAATTGACAACCACAAGGACGAAAGTCCTTCAAACAGCTGAAATAAAATGCCAATTTTTGTAACCGAAAAACTCCTATAACTCGGTCATATCCTTGCGTATCCTGACGAGTCCTGTGTCAAATTAATTGTATGGGCCAGGCCTATCAACTGACACAAAAATTGTCCCAATTGACCTTGTAGTTGCCGAGATATCAAGGATTTTCTGTTTTTGGCCTGTTTTCATGCGGCCCGCGACTAAAATTTTGACAAGTCCCGAATTCTTAGATGACCCCATAATATTTTGATGCAGATCGTTGCAGCTGGTCCTAACAATACGAATGCACCAAGTCCTTTTGAAATCTAAAAGGATATGGCCGAGTTATGGCTATTTTTCTCTAAAAAAGATCGGCGGTCAAAAAAATTTCATTGCATATGCGCAAGGGGCAAGCCGAATGGTAAAATTTTTAAATGAATTCAAAATAATCCCGTAACCACCAAAGAAAAATTCAACTTTTTAAGAAACAATTTAAACATTTATTTTATTTTAGAAAAATAGATTTTACTGTGCCAAATGATCTCTTATCGCTCCGTGTTCACCTGTTTGGGAGTCCAGCATACAATTTACTAAAATTTTAATTTATAGATAATCAAAATTTATTTAACTCAATTTACATTAATTCAATCAACGAGGACCAACAAACATAATTAACGATAGGTCATAAAGGAGGAGCTGTGGATGAAAGACGATAACTATTAGATGGAAACACAATTAAGATGACGAGAGAAGACTTACCCGCCAAAGGTGGACTTCTGGTTGTTGGTGTTGCCCGTTTGAGCCAAGTTACCAAAGGACAGGCCCCCTGTGTCGGTGCCGCCCAGCGTTTCAAAGATGTTCCCCTCCGGAGGTTTAGCGGGAGCACCAAAAGCTGGCGGTGCTACGACCCCGGAGCTGGCACCAAACGAGCCAAAGCCTTTGGGACTGCCGAATGTGGGTGCGCCGCCAAACGTGGGGCTCGCGCCGAAGGCGGGACTGCCACCAAATACGGGCTTAGCGCCAAAAGCACCAGCTGGCGACTGAGTCTGCTGCTGCGGAGAGCCGAATCCCGTCTGAGCTACTGAGCCGCTGCTCTGGGCAAAGGCGCTGCCAAAGGCGCCTGGTGTGGGGTTTGTTTGGGCAAAGCTACCAAAACCACCAGAGCTGCCGCCGCCAAAGATGGAGCCCCCTGAGGCAGCTGGCGAGGAAGTACTTGTAGAACCACCAAAAATGGACCCTCCACCACCACCAAAGGCCGGTACCTGTGGCTGCGAGGCGCCAAACAAATTGCCACCACTGCCAGAAGTCGAGGTCTGGCCAAAAACGCTCTGACCGAAAACGGAAGCCGATGGCGCAGCGGCCGGTGAGCTTTGTGCGCTGTTGCCGCCGCCAAAAATGGAGCTACCGCCTCCGCCAAAAGGTGAAGCAGCCGTGTTCGCAGCGCCACCAAAAATGGAGCCGCCAGCAGCAGCAGGCGAACCAAAGCCGCTGGGCTTAAGGGCGGCAGCCTGACCAAAGATACTGCCGCCGGAACTGGCAGCAGCAGTAGGAGGAGCAGCTGGCGCGGCGGCAGGACTGCCAAATGGGGAGGGATTGCCCGCAGCTGCTGCTGCAAAGAGCCCGCTGGGTGGTGCAGCTGCGTTGGTAGCACCAAAAACGCTCGCCTCCGGCTTGGGCACATTGCCAAAAATATTGCCAGTGGGCGTGGCTGCAGCAGAAGGCGCAGTAGCAGCGGCAGCTACTCCAAACGGACTGCTGGCCGTTGTGGCGGGCGCAAAGGCATTGGCAGAGCCAAAAATGGAACCGGATGTATTGCTCGTAATGGATGTAGCACTGCTGGTGGCTGTTAGTGAGCCGCTGGGTGTGCCGCCTGCCGTGTTCAGGCTGCTGAACGCATTCGAGAAGGAAAACTTGCTGCCTGGCGCAGCAGCTGCGTTCGTTGTGCTGACTGCGTTGCTTGCGGCGGCAGCAAATGTTGGCGCTGAAACTGTTGCTGCTGGCGTTGCAACTGTTGCTGCTGGCGCTATTGTCGTTGCAGCTGTTGCTGCGGTGGCCGTTGTCGTCGTCGTTGCTGTTGTTGCTGATGTGTTGCTGCTGCTGCTGGTGGTGGTATCTGCGGCGCTGACGCTGACTCCTCCGCCAAATAAACTCTTGCTGCCATCACCGCCTGCACCCAAAGCTGGGAACGTGCTGTTGGCGCTTTGACCAAAGCCGCTAAAGATGTTGGCCTGTTGCGGTGCGGCATCTGTGGATTACATAAACTCAGTTTAATTAAAACCTCTTTCTGACGCAGTGCATCAATATCCGACCTGCTGTGCTGTCCTTTGTCTGCGGCTTGCATATATTAATCGAGGCAAAGAGATTGTCAACGGGCGGTGCACTGCTGCTGGTCACAGATGCAGCCGAAGAAGTGGTGCTTATGGTGCTGGCCACGCTGCTGGTGCTGGCCGTATCGCTGGCTGCGGCGGGCACAGCAGCTGCTGTCAAACTGGGCGTGGGCGTTGGTGCGGGAGTGCTGCTGCTACTTACAACGGTATCCGTGCTGCTGGTAGCTGGTGTCGTCGTAGCAACAGCAGGCGGAGCAGCTGCGGGCGTAGTGGCAGCTGCTGGAGGTGCAAAGGGTGTTGCACTGTTGCCCAGCGAGGAGCCAAAACCGCCGAAGCTAAAAGTGGAGCTGTTGCTGCCAATGGTGTTTCCCGCATTGTTGCCAAAGCCAGCAAACGTAAAGGGTTTAGCAGCTGGCTCTGATTTGGCTGCAGTGGCAGTTGGTGCTGCAGTGGAAGCTGGTGCTGCAGTCCTGGCGGGCTCTGCAGCTGTTGGCTCCACAGGTGCGGTCATATCCTTTTTAGCCTCCACAGGCTTGACAGACGCCTCCTTGGGCGGCTCCGATGTTGCTTTAGGCTTGACAGAATCCACGCCAACATTGCCAAAGCCTGAAAAGAGATTGGGCGCAGGCGTTGCCGTAGTCTGGGGCTTGGGCGCCGCGTTTAGGCCACCGATAGGCAACATGGGCTTTGCGCCGCCAAAGCTGAAGGGTGAGGTGCCACCAAAAAAGGATGTTGTTGGCTTGGTGACCTCGCCCGCGCTTAGTGTCGTTGTGGTCACCGTGGACGCAGTGGTCTTAACAAATGGACTGCTCTGGCTGAAGCTAAAGTTTGCCGGCACAGGCGCAGGTGCCGAAGCGGCGACAACGCTCACTGGCAAGCTGTGCAACTTCTCAATGGCAGCAACGGTTGCTGCGGGCTTGGAAGCGGTGGGCTTGGCCAGCTGTGGTGCTCCAGATGCAAACGCAGCTGCCTGAGTAGCTTTGTGAGCCACCGCTGGCTTGGCGCTGGCTGGAGGTGCAGTTGATGCTGCTGCTGCCGCCGCTGCTGTCTTTTTCTTGAGCTCCGCTTTCAGTTTAGTCTCCAATATGACTTCAGACTTGAGACCCACACGATCCGGTCGCTGTGGACTGATTGTGTGCACATTATGCTGCTGCAGCAACTGGCGTATGCATTGCAATTTCTGCTGCGACAGTTTGGCGCGATTGGTTTCCACCGCCTGGTTGAGGGTGATTGAGAGTATGGAGTCGGCTAGTGTGTCCACGCTGTGTCAGAAGGAACAAATAAGTCCAGACCAACCAAATGGTATCTATTGTGTATACTCACGCCTCATTAGTGCGCACGCGACTGGACTCCTGGTTGAGCAGCGCGGACTGCAGCAGCCCGCGTTCCTTGAGCCTAGATTTAATGTTGTTTTGCGTGATGCGCTGATCGGATGTCATATTTTGCAGGCGCGTCAAACGCTGATAGATGCCCTCCAGGCAGGGCATATGCATTTTCGACTTGGAACTGCGGCGCAGGACATCCTGATACTGTTCCCACTGTGCATCAATTTGCTGCTGAGCCAGCTGCAGCTGCGCCTCATTGGCGGCCACATAGCTCTGCAGGCGCGACAGCAGACGACGACCCGCCGCATCAAAATTGGTGGACGTCATCAGGCGCGTAATGCTGCAAAGAGGCAACAAATTTAAAAGGATGGGATCAATTAGTAATAATTTTAGAGAATTAAATATCTGCAGAATACAGATTGAATAGGTGCAGAAATTATAGACAAAGGGAGTCTCACGGCCAACTTTGGATGTAAACTCTACTATTACCGTCTTGAAGATTCATATATTTTACAGTTAAAGATCCATGCGTATATATACCCCATATATTTTTGATCAGGACAAGAAACTAAGTCGTTATAGCCGTGACTAAATGCCTGATCTCAGATTTACGGATTCAAGACGAAATGGAACCAGTGGGTACCATGAAATATAGTATTTGGAATTAATTGATCAAATATTGATTGATATACGAAATTAAATATTCAATTGAAATCGAAATGAAGAATTTCGAAAGACACTTACTCTGGCTTTCTATAGACCTCTAGCTTGGCACGGCATTCGGCCATCATGGCATAGGCTTCGCTCAGCGTATGACGCAATCCCTGGACATCCAGCTCAAAGTCAACATCGTTGGCCTGATCGTTCAGCTCCTGTAGATCCTCCAGCCGCTTGGCATAGAATTTGATCGTGGAGGGTGACTCGATCTGCGCGGCACATAAATTATCATATGCATATAAAACAAGTTGTAAATGACTCACCTGTGAGAGCAGCGCTTGGGTCTGTTGCTTTTGCTGTTCGATTTGCTCGCTAAATGCGCTGATCTGGACATTCATGATCTCCACTATGACATCGTCTACTTCCCCAGCGCTAAACTCCGAGTTCTTGCCTGCAGCCGGCGGCTTTGGAGCAGCAGCTGGAGCGGTCACCACGGGCGTGAAAGTAGGCGGTACCGTATAAAGGGGCTTGTTGCTGTTTGCCTTGGTTGCAGCAGCAGCTGCTGTCGTTGTAGCTGGTAGCGATGCAGCAGTAGGAGCAGGAGCAGGAGCCGGTTTGTCCACTGCTAGATTGGTAAAACTGGGTGCATTGTTTGGAGCAGGAAGTCTAAACATGGAACCAGTTGGCGGAGGCGCCGTGTTGGGTGCGCCAAATCCGCCAAAGCTGGGCGCAGGCAGCGGTTTAGCTGGAGCAGCGGCAAAGTTCAATGGAGCAGCGGGAGCGCCAAAAGCGGGGGGACCTTTGTTACTTACATTGCCGAAACCAGCAAATAACGAGGGCGGCTTATCCTTGATGGGCGCCGGTGTCGACGTAACAGTATTGGGTGTAAAGGCAAAGGAAATGTCCGACAGCGCAGGCGTGTTGGCCTCCACAGTAGCTACGGTCGCCGGTGGTGCAACTGCTGCTGGCGGTGCTGGTGACTGCTCCTCAGCGCCCAGTAGCGCATCCAGCGCACAAAATTGTCCTGAAGTATCAGCCAAGGGCGGCGGCGGCGAGCAAACAGAGGCAGCGCCCGGCTGTAGATTCAGAAAATTGAAGGCGAGCAAAGTGCCATCGGTGCCCAGGACATGCACCATGGGCATGCTGGGCAACTGCTGCTCATTGATGCTCAGCTGATGCGTACTGGAGGTATCATACGCAAAGCCCAATGGGAATGTTTCATCCTGGGTAGCCTCGCTTAACGGCATTTCAATGCGCGCCTCGTCCAGTAGCGTCAACTGCTGCCAATTGGGCGTATCACCCGCCTCCGTGGTGGCTAGTACGCCCACCTCTACGCCGTTCGCCGAACTGACCAACAACAGATTCCATTGCGGCACATGCGTGAAATTGAACTGATGATTGCGTGGCCCATTCAGGCTATAGCAAATGTCGTAGTAATTCGTATAAGTGGGCGCGCCCGCCTTGGGTGCATTTATCACATACAATGCCGGGCTGCAATCCTCGCCATGCTGCAGAAAGACAACTGCAAATTGAAAAGTAGACAACCAGTGTACGGCAATCGTATCGAAGGGCGCATCGTGCACATTCGGCGGGCAGGCGAGCGTCTTGGCGGGCGTCAGATCCGGCTTGAATTGCTGCAAACGACCGCCGGGAAAGCCCAGGACCAGCTGCTTGCCCTTGGGTGACCAGCAGCCGCATTTGATTTGCTGGCTCTTGTCCAGCGAGTGAAGCTCAAAGTTTCCGCCATCCTTAAGCGCGTACATCGCCAAGCCACCGTTGCTAAGCACCACAGCCAAACTGTTGGGCAGCACGGGATTCCACAGCAGCTGCACGGCATACACATAGTCCTCAGGGGACATGCGTATGTTGTATAAAACGCAGGGCTCTGGGCTCATAAAGGATTGCACTGCATAGATGAGTAACAGACTGTTGCCATTTGGCTGCGTATAGTTAATGGCCAGAAGATTGCCATCGGCGCTGCAGGACATGTAATTTGGTATGCTTGGCAGCGGCACGAGACGTGCGAGCGGCTGCTTGCCGCACGTCTTGGCAGCGGCTACATCTTTGATGATTATAACTAACAAATACTTAGGATTAGTATGATCTCAGAATATCTAGCAAAAAGCATCACGTATACCTCTCAGTTCCGGCGCGTTGGGATTGCCGGCAAAAAGTAGTCCACGGCTGCTGGAGACAGCCAATAAATTCACATTGCTGCGCGGCTCGCCGCATTTTCGAAATGCCACAAACTTGTCATGCAATTTGAATTGTATCTCCTGTAATGTACACACACAACAAAATCAGTCAAAATGTATGCATACATTTATAAAACTACGCCGATTTGCATACCTGTGTATCTTTACAATTAGGTGCATTTTGCGCCATTTTTTCGATAGCAGCGTCGTCACCTGAACACGTGCTGCGTCGCTTTTATGGGCACGCTGCAAGTATTTTCCAGTAAATAAACAAAATTTCAATTACTTAAATTAAACATAAAATTATGACACTGCTCTTTGCACAAAGAAATAACAAAAATGAACTAACCAAATAAATTCGCAAACTTTGCGTTGCTGCTGAATCGCAAAACAACTGATGGTACTTGCGTTGATATCGATTACAATCGTCACTTTCGATAAATTATAAACTAATTATTTTCCATATAAGTTTACTTGACCACAAGAGCAATTATTAAATTGTACGGGTATTTAATTAGTGCATGTGCTTATTGTTCAAAATTAATTCTTGTATTAATTTGATGTGACAGCAAATTCAAATCATTTGGAAAACCGCAAATTTGTATTGAGCTGGCAATGCCGCACAACAGCTGTTGCTAATTGCTTATCGAAAATCGATAGCGCATAGCCACACTTTTCGCGACACATACACATCACCAGCTGTGTTGTTATTTGTCTGTCTCTGTCTGCGTTTTTGTTTAACAAAAGCATTGTTCGCGCGCGCAATGCAGCAAAAAACTGCACTAAGTGGTCGAAACGAAAAGTAACAAAAAATGTAGTTAACACAATTGGGCAATTAGTTATTGGAGTGCTGCGCAACACGGTGCTACGGCGTTGTTGTTGTTATCGTTTTAATTAGCAAACGGAGAATCACAGCAACCAACAAAAAAAAAAAACCAGAAAAACATCGTAAGCGTCAAAATTTGTTTGTTCCTTCAACGAGTATACACTAAAAACAAAACAAGCTTAACTAGAACGTTTGCAAATTGGGTGAGTTATTGTGCAAGAAATTTCAGCGACAAGGTGAGCACCAGTTATAGAAAGAAGTCTGCTTATTGAAGCGCAAATGCGTGTGTTACTTCATTTGTAATTGAATTTTCATTTATTCTATTTGTCAGCGACAGCGGCAGCGGCAGAAGCAGAAGCAGAGCAGCGTAACAAAGGACGCGCTAAGCTTTCAATATGATCAGCAGCTTATTTTCACGGCTAATAATGTGAGTAAGAAACGAAAAAGAATCAGTTCTAGTTCGCACTTTGGCAAGCCGAAGATTTAATACTCTCGCAGAAGTGCTTCACTTTATGTGCTAGCGGTTACAATAATCAAAAGTGTTTAAAGGTCAATTCATGAATAAATTAAAATTTGCAATTGTGTTGTGGACGCTAGAAAAGTGGAATTTCCGTGTTTCATTATAATTGCGTAATTTGGCAATATTTGAAGCCATTTTCAAGAAGTCTTCTTTAAAATAAAGTAATAAAGTCAAAATAAATAAATACTTTCGTTAAAAATAAATAGTGTAACATTAAATTATTTTTTATGCAGTAATGCAGTTGCCCTTCCGTATTTTGGCACTTATTTACAAATGCCTTTTATTTCTATATTCATTCTACTTATATTAATTTTAAAATAATTACGTATAATTTAGAAGCTATTTTAATTTCGTGATATGAATAGACCCATCTAATGAGGAATACAGACTCCATAGAGCAACAAAAATGGGGATCTCACAAATAATATATGAGACTCTCCGAATCTGTTTATTCAAATTAGCTTAATATGTATATGATTCAAAATTCCACAAATTACTATGTCCGCGTAACCCCTCAGTAAAAAATGAGAAATCCTATGAAACAAGAATATATATATATATTTGTTACATGTGTCATCACTAAGTCAGCGTACACACTGCGAGAGTATACTTAAGAGGCCAGCAACTACACCAACACACACGCACGAATGCGTTGTCGTCTTTGTTGTTGTTGTCGCTGTTGTTGTTGCTGACCCCCAAAAAAAGAAAAACTGGTGAGCGAGCAACTCTTTTTTTTTATTTGTTGGAGTTTTTGGCCTTGCCTCCGTAGTTCGCTTTAATTTGTTTGATTCTGCTTCCTAATAGTGTGGGTGTTACGCTGTGATTCCGTGAGCGTTGCCAGCGCGAGTCAATTGTTTTTTTTTTTTTTTTTATTAATCAGCGCCAAAAGTTACCGTTAGCCGCTGTGCAGCGTCAAAGTCAATTTGAGCGGGGCGCCTTTTATGGCGTTACGCGCGTATGTGTGTGTGTGTCCGAGGTTGACGCACTCGCCTTGCCGCCACATATATGTATAAGTCATACAGACACCTCATTGGAGACAAGTCTAATGTTCCATGTGAAACACTTGCCACATTGAGCGCCAATTCCATGCTCATATTTATAGCGTCTCCAAGCGCCAAGCGCCAAGCGCTGCTGCTGCTGATCAGCTAATAGATTCAAATATATGTATATATCATTTTGTTGTATTTCTCGCTCACATTTTGGGCAAATGCGAGCTGCAATAGAGCGCAGCAGCTGCTCTTGCTGCTATTAATAGCTGAGAATTCTATGCCATTTCGCATTAGACGCTCTCGAGCAGCTGCTGCCCGAATAGTCTTTGCGCGTCGTTTTGGCAACTAGGAACGAGGCATTTATCGCTCGCTCCGGGCAATGCGTCGCCATGAGCCGGCCTAGCTATCTGCAGGAGCAGCTGCTCTATCAGCAGCGCCAGCACCCGGCTAATATTAAACGCCTACGTCAGCAGGCGCTGCCCATATACGGACGCAGCTATTCGCTCGAGGAGCAGGCAGCTGTCGCGGCTGCTGGCAATTTCGTGCCCGTCTATTCAAAATTTATCTATCCAGCCCAGCAGCAGCAGCAGCTGCTTCAGCTGGAGCAGTTGGAGCTGCAGCAACAGCTCGGCCTGCACGATTCTCTTAATTCCTTGAGCAGCGATTTTACAGACTATGACTATGAGGCACCTTTCATTGTGGAACAGTCAGCAGCAAATGCAGCACCAGCTGCCTCCAATGTGGTGCAGAATCTGAACGCTCTGGGCCGTTTCTTGGAGCTGCTACAGCGTTGGCCACTACCCCGTCTATCCTTCAATACGGCCTGCATTTGCTCGCTCATCATTATATTTATAGCGCCCCGCACTTGTGCACAGAGTTTATTGTTTCCCGCTTTCAGATTGTTCTTCGGCACTCTATATCCGGCCTATGCCTCCTACAAGGCGGTGCGCACAAAGAATGTCAAGGAATATGTGAGTATACAAATGTTAAATTAATCAGTTATCAGTAATCAGTTATATTATAACTAATATTATAAGCTTAAAGTTTAAAAACAGTTAAGAGATCTTGTACTTTTTGATGTCCTTCAGAAGGTTTTTAATGTAGTTTCCAGGTTCTTAACTTAAATTAGTTATAAGTTTACATATAAAATGATAAATAATGATAAAAAAGAGCAAACACAACTCTATAGGACTGCATACTTTTAGAATATACCCAATCTTTTGCATCTCCTTGGACAAGTTTCATAATATGTATACCCTATATAGGTCAAATGGATGATGTACTGGATTGTCTTTGCATTTTTTACATGCATTGAAACATTTACGGACATATTCCTATCGTGGTTCCCATTTTACTATGAGGTCAAAGTGGTAATTGTCTTGTGGCTGCTATCGCCAGCCACAAAGGGCAGTTCCACATTGTATCGCAAGTTTGTGCATCCCATGCTGACACGACGCGAACAGGTGCGTTCATAATACATATATCATATATATAGTTTATATATATAATCACTCTCTGTTTTTTTCACTGGCACAGGAAATCGATGAGTACTTGAATCAGGCACGCGAACGCGGCTACTCAGCGGTGCTGCAGCTGGGATCTAAGGGTGTTAACTATGCCACAAACGTCATCATGCAGACGGCCATAAAGGTAACTGAAACACATGCAGCAACAGCTACAGAAAGAACAACAGCAACAGCACACACATAACACACACACACACATAACACACACACACACACATTCACATGCACTCGCACAACTAATTCATCTGGCACATTTTTCAATTGCTTTTACAACAATTTGCCACCAGCGTCGTTGCATAAAATGAAATGAGCAGCACACAACAGCTACAGCAACTGCCACCGCCGCAGCAGCCGCAGCCACAGCCATCGCCGTCTTAAAAACGCCTCAATTTCTGTATAGAAAATGTTTGCGCAATGTTTTTCTTTTCGCTCAGTGCCCCCGTTTCGGTGCTCATCTCTCATCAACAATAACAACAACAACAACAACCACAACAGATCTTCATCAACAGCATCTGTGGGGAGCAGCTGGGGCTGCAGCGTGCCAGACGCGCGTCGACATCGTCATCATTTTGTTCATTGTTTTCATTAACTTTAAATATCGTTTAAACAAACAAATAGAAAATACTTATATGTATGCTCTCTTTGTGCCATATGTTTGTTTTAGTTTATAGTTTGATAAATTTTCTTTTGTGTGTGCAGCGCTTCATAGAAATACGTTAAAAGTTAGCCAGCTTCAAAGCCATGTAGAAATACTATTGATAATAAAAAAAGAATACAAGAATACAAGCACATCATCGATATAGATTTATATAGTATACTCAAAAGAGTAGTTTATCTAAATGTAGCACAGAATTGGGTCTCGACAACCAAACAAACAAATTGTTGCCTTAGTCCAAAACTCAAGTATGTAAACATTTCAGATTGCAATACATTTTGTTCAGATATTTTCTTGCACGTATATGTTTATACATTTTGTTTTTTACATTCCACAACAAGTGGAAATACTCTTTATAAAGAAATTGATTCAGTCTGTGCGGCTCGCAAGCCACATACAAAGAGCATTAATCATCGTCGTTGTTCAGGTCTTTGTGGTTACACACAAAGCACTTATATATATTTTTATTATATACATTATATTATATATTTATCGGTGTCTATTCATGGCAGCATTTCTTTGTTAAAACGCGTGTCGCGTGTTCCATTGGGTCAAGTAGCAATGAATTTCAAGTTGCCACAGAATATATATTTTCCTCACTTCCTTGTCATTTAGTCTAAGCAATTTGCTGCTGCAGTGAATCGCAATATCTAAACTACATATTTTATAGTAATTTCGTAACTTGATGTCACTTTTACGATTTTATTTCAAATTAAGTTCATATTTTCATACTTTATCAGCAGCGACTTATCTTACGACTCATCTATCTTTGTGTGTCATACTTTAATTTAGTTGTTTCAATTGTTGTAAACATTGTGATAATAATGTGTACCTTAACCCACATGAACTTGAATATCTCCTAAACAGCATACCTTTTATATAATATGTAACCAACATTTCAACTAATGCGAAGACACATTTTCATTTATTTGTTTGTGTTACCATAACTTTTCCTATCTGGTTAATTGTAAAATGGCTTTCTGCTATATTTCCACCAGTTTTTTACCACATTACAAGAGTTTGATATTCAGTTTTTGTT